TAAACATAGAAAGAGCAATAATAGTAAAACTCGAGCGTCACGACATTGCGAAGTGTCTGCTCTTGTTCCTCGTATCGTACTCACTCGAGTCAATCCGAGATGGCCCGAGTGAAGTTTCATGCAAATGTTTCGTACGGAAAAAAAAATCGCGACCTGGGCAGAGGCGCGCCACGAGAGAGAGAGAGAGAGAAGCGGGTAAACTGGGTAGAGGGCGCAACATAAGTTGTGGCTGGTATCAAAGAGTATAAATTTAATAGTATTTAACAGTGTCGTGATGTGACACCGGCGTGAGTGCCACGGCTCCACCTCCCCACCCCCCAACCACCTTTACACAGTGTTAACATTTTAAACCCTGTTTGCTGGGATCACTTAGAATGAATACTTATAAAATATGTAAGCATCAGTACACGTTATACGTAGGCCTCTATAGGCCTAAGATAACACATACTAGGCCTTAAGCGTGATAAAAAATCTTAAATCCATATTAATCCAAGGCAAGATATAGAAATTTGATACTGTAAGTTCATTTTGGTTTTTATTCTTTTGCAAGATTCTTTAAAGAATTGTTTACCATACTAGCCTAATTCTAGGCCTATTAATGATGATGATGACAATGACAATGATGATGATGGACGCAAGACTGCATGACCGTTTTCATATTTGCAATATGAAACCAATTTCTTCAATTTTAAATACATTTTGCCCCGAATTCGTGAAAATTCGTTATCAAGCATAGACTTGATAACGAATTTTACCTTACACAAACATGGCGAAAACGAAAAGAATTGAAAGCCTTACAATTGCGAATGATATTTTTGGCCTCGTTGCGGTGTTTCGAACTTTTTTTAAAACGTCATTTTGTAATTTACTCTGTAATTTGTATGGTTTTCTTTTTACTTGTCTTCTTGTTTTGTATGTGAACGCACGGTGTATAGGCCTAAGGGCGTGCAAGCGATGTAAAGGTGTTGTTTCAATGAATTAATATACAGAAAGCACAAACAATAAATAATTAGTTTTAATTTTGAAGATTGGTCAATCCTGGTAAATCGAAAAATAAAAACAGGAAAAAAATCAAATATTTTAACAACGTTGAAAGGAAACATAAAAACAA